ATTTAGCCAGATGGGCTGAGGCAGGGAGGGAGTGGGGAGATGCTAGAAAGTCCAGCGTCCCTGTTTCAGGGTGGGCACAGTTAGGACCCTCCCTCGCAGTGCCTGCCGGCAGGGGCCACAAACCATCCTCCCCACCTTTACTGGGGAGATAGGTACGTTTCTCCAGTAGGCTCTGAGTCTTTGCCTCTTCTGTTTTTGTATGCTGTAGCCACTGGAGAATTTGGAGAGTCTTTAGTTTGAAATGCAAGATGATTTCTTCAGGAAAAATGATCAGATTCCTCACGACCTCTTGTTCCAAGGAGAATAGACGGTATTTTATCATTGCGGCATTGTATCATAGCTACAGCTAAAACCGTCTGAATGCTTGCCAATGTAACAAAGGGAAGATAAAGTGGGATGACTCAGTTTTGGGTCGTGAAAGCTCAGGAAAGTGAGACAACAACACCCCCCCCTCCACCCCCAACCACCATCAGCACAGCCTCCAGGAGTCAGGAAGACGGGCCGGAGCAGCTTCCTCCCCAGAGTCCCCCGCCTGCATGCTGTAGACATTCAGCTAACCGGCCCTGGTCCTCGAGCCCAGGGTCTTCACCATCTCATTCACCTGCTTGGAATGTTAACCAGCTCTAAAAACCTTGGATGAGGGCTGCTGTGTGAGTGAGTTCATCACAAAGTCTTCAAGCCAATACTTAATGAAGTATGCTGAGCTGAACGCGCTCTCTTCCTGCAGGAATTCTCAGGGCTGTCTCACGTGCCAGTGAATATCATGGCCACACCGTAGGGGGCTTATGATTTGTAACGTTTCTCAAACTTACTGAAGTGCAAGTGCTTACTGGAGGTCCATCTTATGGACTAGGCATTTGTTGAAATCACTTTGGGATACACTGCTTTAAATTGGCATTATCGCCCTGTTGCCATTGTTTTCCTCAATAACAACTTTTAAAAAATGGCGGTGAGCAACCATTCATTCATCTGCTTAACCACTAGTCAACTAACCATCTGTCCATTTATCCAGTCATCCATCTTTCCACCCACCCACCCACCAACTCATCCTCTCATCCACCCACCCATCTACCCATCTATGCACCCATGCACCCGTCTACCTATCTATCCACCCATCCACCCATTCATCCATCCATCCATCCATTCATCTACCACCCATTCATCCACCCATCCACCCATCCATCCATCCATCCATTCAACCAACCATCCACTCATAATTTGTATATCCAAGCAAGCAGCATCCAGCCAACAAACATCTTACAAATGGTCCTCTCCATACTCTGGGGACAACACTCGGGCTTTGGTAGATCTAAGATGTCTTCACAGAGCTTCTAGTTTACTGCAGTCTATCTCCTACGTACAAGTAACCAGACTTGTGGGTAGAAAATGATTTTTGTCTTTGGGGAAATTAAGTGCTGGTGGCTCAAGAAAGGAGAGAGCTCCTCTCCTCAGGTGAATCCTTGAGGGCTTAGTGGAGGAGGTGACATTTTTCTTTGCAGGAGGGATTCGGACATGGAGAGATAGAAGCTGAGGGCCAAGGATCCCTGCTGGTGGGACCAGGGTGAACAGAGAGCCGGAGCAGTGACAGGGCGAGCTGGGGGAGCCAGCCTGACCGCCCCTCCTTCCTCGAGTCTCTGCTTGGCTGAGTCGTGACTACGGCGTTGGGACTACTGCCCAGAGTCCTCGTTACCTGCAGGAATGTCCCTAACGAGGCCTAATTCTTTAGCTGGCGTGCCTTTCCTTTGGTGCTGGCTTCAGAAATGTGTAGTTCCATTTAGAATCTGAGGCTGAAATGTATTTGTCATCACGGTGCCCACAGCAGGCGCCCGGCACCCACCTTCAGCTGCACTGGAATGGGAAGGGGGTGCCGCCCGGCATCATGCACCTTTCACTGGGGTCCCAGAGGTGGATTTTCCAGAACATTTTACGAGACAGCCCCAGAGTTGGCAACGTCCCCATGCACATCCAGAAGGAGACAAGATCCTTGGTGCTGGGCAGGGAAATCCTGCATTTGCCCAATACACCCATTTGCTTGACATTCCACAGACAATTAAGGAGTGTGGAGCAGGAGCCTGTCCTAAGCCTGGGTGCAGAGGTTCACTGGATAGCCGGGCACCTGTTCTAACTGGGGGAAGACAACGGGCCACCAAATACCTCAGTAAGATAATTACGCGTGGCAATAAATATTTAAGGGATTGACTGGAGGGTAACTTCAGGGGAGGAAGATTTTAGATGTGGTGCTCAGGGAAGGCTTCCCAGGAGGCGATGTTGGAGGTGATACTTGAACAACAAGGGGGCCGCCGAGGGGCAGGAGCCAGGGCAAAGCCCAAGAGGCAGGTGGGAGCCGAGGTGCTCAGAGAGACAGAAATGTCAGTGTGGCGAGAGGCTCAGCAGCAAGGTGAGGCGGGTCTAGGGATCCGCTGCTCAGGCAGGCTGGGCTCAGGCAGTGTGGGACCTGCTGCCCGCAGGGAGGAGTTTTGAGCTCACGTGCGGTCCAGGGCTACCCACGGCTCATTTTGAAATCTGGCTCTGGCTGCGGGGTTGAGAGGGTGTTGGGCGTGGGAGTGGAAGCTGGGGGCCAGCAGTCAGGAAGGGGCCAGGTGCCGTAGACGGCACGGGAGGAGGGCTGTCAGGGGGCTAGAGGGAGAGCAACATCCGGGATCTTCTCTGGAGGCACAACTAGCGGGATGTCCTGCAGGGCTGGATACCGGATATTGGATATTGGATACTGGATACTGGATATTGGCATCTGGCAGAATGAGGGTGAAGGAGCCCTCCCCAAAGGCCTAAGCGTCTGGGTGGATGAGGCCCCGTTTCCTGGGCTGGGGAAGCTGGCGATGAACAGATCTGAGGACAGGAGAGTCAGAGAGTCCCATGTGGTCATGTTGTTGAAGGAGAGATGCATTTTAAATATCAAGGAGACAGTAGCATATTTAAGTCTGGATTTAGTGGGGACATTTGGGCAGGAAGAGTGGGAACCAGGGGCAAGGAGAAGCAGACCCAATTAGAGTCTGGACATGGTAAGGTGGAGGGGGAGAGTGTACAAATTTGTTTGAGCTCCTGGATCTAGCCATGCCTGAAGCTTGACCACCTTGACTCTAGTAGTGTGAGCCCACCATTTCCTATTCCCTTTGTTTTTCCTGGGTCAGCGTGAGTCAGGCTTCTGTCACTTGCAATGGAAAGAGTCTTGACCCAACACAGGAGGTATTTTCAGTGTTTTAGGCTGCATTACCTCTGCATTTGGCTGAATTTACAACACTCCAGTGTGGTGAGCATAGAGGTAGTAACAGGGTGGTAGAAAGAGTAGACCCTTTTTTTTTTTTAAGGTTTTAGTTATTTATTTGTCAGAGAGAGAGCACAAGCAAGGCATGGGAGAGGGTGGCAGGCAGAGGGAGAAGCAGGTTGCCCACTGAGCAAGCAGCCCAATTTGGGACTTGATCCCAGAACCCTGGGATCAAGACCTGAACTGAAGGCAGATGCTTAACCGACTGAGCCACCCGGGCGCCCCGAGAATAGACCCTTTGCCATCAAGCAGACCCAGGAACCAGTTCCGGCTTTGTCTCTGGCTTTCCATGTGACCTTGAGCAAGGAAATGGGCTTCTCTGCCCCTTCTTGTCCCCGCCCGGAAGGGTTGCACAAGGACAGGATGGAAGACAACAGGGAGAGTGTCTGGCCAGCGACTGGGGTGCGGCAGGTGCTTAGTTACGTGTCCTCATTTTGGCCCTCTCTCCCCCCACACTGATTAAAAGCTCAGGTTGGCGGTTATTTATGTGTTTGATTAATTAAACAATTGGGAAACAAATTAATTATTACTTAACGGAGGCCGTTTAGGCGACACAATCTTTGCAAACATGAGGCCTGGCGGCGAGAAGAACAAAAGTGTTGCCAGGCGGCCGGGAGGGTGGGAAGCAGCGAAGTAGAAAATCTTCAAGGTCCTTCTCATCTGGAAAATTCGCCTTTTCTAGACGCGCAGAATGTGGCTCCCTACAGATAAATGTTGACTTATGGTTTGAGTGGCTTATTATATGTCATGGTGCCTTCAAATGGCAGCGAGGCAATCACTCTGGTGTCACCTACATGGAGTTTATCCAAGGCAAGAGGCGGAGAGGGAGAAATTGGGCCTGAGTCACAGCCACGTGGCTGGTCACTGCCGTCACTCCGGTTAAATCTCCCTCTGTCACTGTTCTCCATGGTCCCCCTGCGGCCGGCCCCCCAGCTGTCGGATCTGGACCCTGGGCTGAATTAAGCATCAGTGACCATGGCTGCAGCCCATGCCCTTGGCTCCATCAGGGTGCAGGGGGGCGGCACAGGGGAGGGAGCTGGGGGAGCGGGGGTGGGGGGGTGTTGTGCTTGAATTTCAAAACCACCCAAGTTTTTCGCCCCATTAAGTTATCATTTGCTTCAAGGAAAAGTTCCCAGAATCCGAGCGGCAGTGAACTCAGCCCCAGCTCCCGCCCCCACCCCGTACTTCCGTGCTCTCTGCAACCCCCTAGCCTGTGGGGCTCACTGCCCGGCTCCTTCCAAGGAAATCGTGTGTCAGGCAGCTCTCTGTCTGCCTCACGCGGGTGTCGCTTGACTGCATTATCTCATTTTTGGAAGGCACTGCTGTGGTTCATGCCTTTCTCACCTCCAAACCTGCCCTCACCAAGTGCAAGAGAATTCTGATTTGTCAGGACCCTGTCTGGCCATCCAGAACCTTCCCCAGGGCTGGGAAGGTCAACTCCTGCCATGGGTCATATTGACTTTATTGGATTGCTTTTTCCAAAGGAGTCAAAGAGCAGCGGAACTGGTAGGGAGGGAGTTTCTAGCTTTGCTTGGGAGCTTCTGCCTTGCTGCTGGGTTTGAAATGGCTCTCCTGCTCCTGCCTCATCGAAACCCTCCCACCCCAGATCGGGCCTCCCACCTTCTGAGGGCTGCGGGGGCCAAGCCAGCCTAGTCTTCTGGAGTTGCTGTACGAGCCTGGTCCCTGTGTCCCTACAAGGCAAGACGCCTCCACTCACCTGCCCACAGAGTCTCTTGGCCGAGGCCCCTGGTAGCCCCATGAGGAGGACGCCTCTGCCCTCTGCGAGGAAGAAATGGCCACGCATGCTAGCCTGGTGCGTGGGTCAGGAGAAGCTGCAACAGGGAGATGGAGGTCTGGGTTTGGACGGGAGCCTGCTGGGCCTGGGCTCCCTCACAACCTTCTCAGGGAGGCTTTTCTAGGTGGAGTGCAGGCAAACCCACGGCCACAAGAGGTGATGTGACCCGAGAGCCGGAAGCAGAAGTGGGTCTGGCTCCAGAGTCTTTGCTCAGAAGAGAGAGCGTGGCCCTATTTTCACCAGGGTACACCTCAGAGTCCCAGACGGCTGTTTCCCAGGTCCTCCTGCCAGGTCCAGCGGGTCTAGAATTCCCCAGGTTGCCCCGTGGGGGCGACGCAAGGATCCCCGTGTGTCTTGCTGAGGGAAGGTTATCTTCAGCAACGGGCCAACAGCTCAGGGACCTGGCAAGTGGGGGCACGGCTCAGAGGTAGCGGGCTCCCTTGTTGTAACTTTTGACCCCTACGATTTATCCGATTTTATCTGATTCAGACTGGCACGGGTGGTGGAAAGGCCGGTACGTATGCTACATCCTCAGAGACATATCTGTGTTTTGTCATGCAGCAAGGACCACCTGGACAGCAGCATGGAGACCTGTGACTGCTTGGTGTCTGGGGGACGTAAATCGGTTGATGCTGCTGGAGGGTCAAGTATGGAACGGGAAGCGAAAGACAGCGTTTGGGAAGGTCAAGTGTTTTATCTCCCTATTCCCCCCAGAGGTGACAGGAGGTTCTGTAAGGTGCCTTTTTTTTTTTTTAACTATTATGATTTTGTATCCAAATACAATTAACATACAGTGTTACATTAGTTTCAGGTGTCCAATAGAACATTCCGATAATTCTATACGTTGCTCTGCGCCCATCGTGATTAAGTGCACGCTCTGTCCCCGTCAGCTACTTCACCCCCCTCCCTCCCCTCTGGGGGCCACCGGTTTGTTCTCCATATGTTGGGGTCTGGTTTTTTGTTTGTCTCTTTTTCCCTTTGTTCATCCGTTTGTTTGTTAGATTCCATATATGAGGAAGCCAGTCAGAGAAAGACAAATACCAGGAGGGTTTTAATCAGGCAAGTGACCACGTCAATCCTGTGTGGTGGAAGGCTCATGTGGCTGGAGCATGGCACAGTGAAGCTCTGGCCGAGCTGGTGATCAGCTGGTTATCACGAGAGAATTTGTGTGGTCTGCACAACACACGAGGAGAGCGTAAACCGAGGCAAGGGGAATGGAGAGAAGAGGACAGGCGATGGGCTTGTTAGTAGAGGCCTCTTTCTTCAGTAATCCTTACCAAGCACCTACGGTAGGATCAGCAGTCTGCTAGATGCCAGGGAGACACAGGTCCATGCCTCGTGGGGCTGGCACTCTTGTGGGATAAGCAAACAGCAGTCCCACGTTGTGTAGAATCCGTGTTCCTCAAAGGCAAGGTATAAAGTGTTATGAGTGGATGTAATCGACATAGTCCACTAGGCCTTCCCTAAGGGAAAGACAATTGGTCAGAGAGATGAAGAATGAATAGGAATTACCTAGGTGGTGAGAGGAGGCAGAGTGTTCTGGGCAGAAGACCAGCATTTTCAAAACTGACAGGGGTGAAGAGGGGAGAGGGAAGGGGGTGGAGGCATGGGCAGGGTCAGTTCAAGCAGGACCTTAGGGGAGGTGGTGTGGCCTGTGGCCTTTATCTTTGGAATGATGGAGAGGATGTTGAGTAAGTGTTAAGTATGACATGATTTGACCCTGTGGAAGATCAAGGTCACCTTCTGGCCATGCTGGATAACAGGGGCTAAATGGTGTGACCAGAAACCTGGACAGAGTAAGTGAAACAATGATTGGACAATGGGCAGTCCAGGACTGTGACCACAGAGAAGGAAACAAGACAGGCGAGCCCTCCAGTCACCCTGGCTTTCTGCTTGAAGCCACTTCTCTGTCTGTGGACCAGCATGGGGGATCCCAAGCAAACATGGCTGTCCTGATAAGTTGAGGAGGCATAGATGGGAACTAGGGGAGGCTGAAGAGCCTAGGATGTGTGGGGGCAGATTACACGGTGGGGAGGGGGCTATGTGGTAAAAACTCTAGAAACGTGTGCTGGTCTTGGATCTCAGGGGGACATTAAGATACATGTGTACTGGGTGACATTTCATGAAGCCACGTGCATAACAACTCAGGAGCTCTGAGCTAAACTGTTCCTAGGGCTAACACAAGGGTGTGTGTGTGCACGCGCACATGTGTGTGTGTGTGTTGGGGGGTGGGGGATATTCAACTTTAGATTAACCAGTCATGTGTCCTCATTGACCACTGAAGACATTCACTGGAGAAAGCAGACGGCCACACCTTCATGGTAGCCTAAACTAATCCTGGAATAAAATCTACACTAAATCCACCCTAACAAAGACCGTAACAGTGGGCCTTGAAAGGTCTTTGTTCACTAAAGTCTGTATTTTGTCATTGGCTTGTCAAAGCAAAGCCCCACACACCTTAAAGGAAGACGGCCAGATCTGGACTCAGCAGTGTAATAATCATCATGTCCAACATCCAATCAAAAATTACTAGATATATTAATAAGGAAGACAATGTGACCCATAACCTAGAGAGAGTCAGCAGAAATAGTCCCAGAACTGACAAGGATTATGGAATTAGCAAACAAGAACATTAAAACAACCATTAAGGGGTGCCCGGGTGGCTCAGTGGGTTAAGCCTCTGCCTTCAGCTCAGGTCATGGTCTCAGGGTCCTGGGATCGAGCCCCACATCCGGCTCTCTGCTCGGCAGGGAGCCTGCTTCCTCCTCTCTCTCTGCCTGTCCCTCTGCCTACCTGTGATCTCTCTCTATCAAATAAATAAATAAAACCTTTAAAAAAATAAAACAACCATTAAATGTGTATTCAATCTTTAAGGAAATTGAGTATTTAAGGGAAACAGTCAATATTTAAGGAAGAAATTTAAGAGAACAAAGGAACCACATAGAATTCTAGAGATGAAAAATGCAGTATCAGAAATGTAAAATGTACCAAATGGCTTTAACATCAGATTAGAAAACGCTGTAAAAAGAGTAGTCAACTTGAAGACAAATAGTCTGAAATGAAACAAGGAAGAAAGAGTGGAAAAAAGTGGAACAGACTTTCACTGAGCCATGGGACAATAGCAAGCATATGGGATTGGGATTCACAGGAAGAGAAGCATGTTTGTGGAGGGGAGGGGAGGACAGAAATTAATATGAAGAAATAATGATTGAATATTTTCCAAATTTAATGAATGTAATAAATGCTCAGGTCCAAGAAGCTCGGAGAGCCACAAACAGGATAAACACCTAAACAAAACAAATAAAAACGAAAACCAGAAAAACAGGCCCCCCCCAAACCCACATTGACATACATCATCCCCAGAGTGCCGAAAAATAATGACAAAGAAGAGAACATTAAATATCCGGGGGTGGGGGGAATGACACATTATGTAAAGAGGAACAAGAAATCCACAAAAATATGCATATAAGGCAGAGAATGATGATGGAGAGCCATCTTTAAGGTTCTGAAAGAAAACAATCTGTCTATACACAATAAAAATATTACTCAAAATAATGACAGAATAAAGACGTTTTGAACAACAACAACAAAATAGCAGATAGAATCAGCAGCAGCAGATCAGCACGAAGGGAGCACTGAGGCAAGCCGTCAGAGAAGAAAGAAAATGACGCCAGGTAGAAACTTAGCTACAAAAAGGAATGAGTAGCAACTACGTGAGTAGATAGAAGAGACATTTATTTCACATTCAAAAATCATTTAAAAAGATAATTGACCAGGGCGCCTGGGTGGCTCAGTCGGTTAAGCCTCTGACTCTTGATCTCACCTCAGGTCTTGATCTCAGGGTCGGGAGTTCAAGCCCTCTGTTGGGTTCCTTGCTAGGTGTGGAGCCTACTTAAAATAAACAAACAAAAAAAAGTGACTACTTCAAACAAACAGTAGCAATGTGCAGTGGGATTTATAAAATGGAAAAGTAAAATATGTGACCACGAAAGCAGGAAGGATGAGGGGGGCAATGAAAGTCTGTTGTGATAAAATATCACATCGTATGGGAGTGGGGTAGATGAGGATAAGCTAAAGATGCAAATTCGTAAAAGTAAAATAAAGAGCTCTAGCTTGTGAGCCAATGGTGGAAATAAAATGGAATCATTAACATCTATCAGCAAGATGGTGGAAATTTAACATCTATCAGCAAGATGGTGGAAATAAACCCAACTACATTGATAATAATATTAAATTAACATGAAATGCAATGGTCAAGATACCCCAGTGAAAAGACAGACATGATAGGTTGCATGTACAAGCAAGGCACCACCCCATGCCGTCTTCCAGAAAGCCACTTTTACTGTGAAGACAGATGAGTCAAAGTTGAATGCTGGAAGAAGATGGGCTGTCCAGGGACGCCGGGGTGGCTCAGATGGTCAAGCATCTGCCTTTGGCTCAGCTCATGATCCCAAGATCCTGGGATCAAGTCCCACGTCAGGTTCCCTGCTCAGTGGGGAGCCTGCTTCTCCCTCTGCCTGCTGCTGCTCCTGCTTGTGCACTTTCTTTCTCTCTCTCTCTCTCTAACAAATAAATAAAATCTTGAGAAGAAGGAGGAGGAGGAGAAGGAGGACAAGAGGAGGAAGAGGAAGAGGAGGAGGAAGACCAGGAGGGAGAAGGCTGGCTCTCCACATGCAAATCCAAAGTAGGTTGAAGTGGTGTATTAAGGAGAATTCAGAGCAGGAAATATTAACAGAGCTAAACAGGAGACATTCTTTAATGCCACTGAAGTCAACTCACAAGAAGGCGTGGCAATCCTAAGTAGACACACAGAAATAAGAGATACGAAATACTTGAAGCAAAAGTATTTGAACTGGAAAGAGAAACAGACGAATCCAGAGTTATAGTTGGAAATGGCAACGTCCCTGAATTAGTAGACATAGGAAGAAGGCTGGTAAGGATCTGGCAGACCTGAACAATGTGTTCAACCACCTTGGTCTCAGCGGCAGTTTTTAGCACAGAACAGCACC